ACTACCATTTCTTAGGTGAAGTGCAAGTTAAATTCATGAAAAAAAATAAATTGTATAATAATATTATTTACCAATTGTCATGTGAGATTTTTTTCTCGAAAGATAAAATAATTTACGTATCATCAAAAATACCAACAATTAAATCATAATTCTTCTTAAATAAAATATGAAGAATGTATTTTTGCATAATCACACTCAGATAACATTTGAGCAAAAATATGTTTTTTTCCTTATCATAAATTAAAAATTTGCCTGTTCATCTCTAAGAAAAAAAAATTTTAACTAGGTAGTAAAACTTAGTCTCATTAATGAAGAAAATATATGATTTCAGCAAAATAGATTATTAAAGTAATATAAAATTACAAATTAGAGTTAATCTTCTTACACTATAGGCCGAATGTATTTTAGTAAATATTAACATAAAAATTTTCATCAGAGATTATATACCTATTTGTGCATATAGCATGTGTCTCTATCATCTGTGTCTGCAACTATATATGAGGAAATCCACAAAAAATATTCCAGTTTTGTTCCCCATTTTAATAAAAAAATTTTTTTTGAGGTAAATCCTCGAGATATGGCTTATTTTGTTCACAATGTCGTGTACTAGGAGAGAAAAATTGTGAACACAAATTTTAGTGGTGGTGACACCCTTTTCCCGTGATTAACATGCTAAAATTATATCCATATAAATGATGTGTATAGAGATAATAATAGCATGTGCAAAAAAAGGGTGTCACCTCCACTAAAAGCCGTTTTCAAATTTTTTTCCTCATTGTGCATGACATTACGAGTAAAATGAGCCTGATTTTAAGGGTGTACCTCAAAAAAAAAATTTTATTTTAAAATCAGTAAGTAACACGGGATATTTTTTGTGGATTTCCTCGTATACATATTAATAAACATTACCCGTTACAATGCTCTGAAGAATTAACGCGTCTATTTAATACCGCAAAAGTGCTTTTTTACGCAATATGTTTATGAGTTAAAAAAAAAAAAAATTAAGTAAGAGAACATCAAAATGTCATAAAACTTGATAAGCGCCAGAATGCGTGTATAGTTAAGTATACATGCATACAATATATATCTGAAGTCTGACGACATTACGACTCTTTCTCTACCAGGGAGTGAACTCACGCGTGTGTGTGACGTAATCGGTTCATTGAATGAAACAATGCAACCACGCGAGATTAGCTCGTGTTGCCTTTCAAGTGTGTATACTTACATAGAGAAGAGCAACGCGTAGAAAGAAAAGCTGGAAGGAATAACGATTCGTCGCGTCAAGAAATAATGTAAAATCAGTGAAGGCGGAGGTAGTGTCCCGGAAGCGTGTTACACATACAGTATAGTCGCATGATTGCATGAAAAAAAAAGGGAAACAATGTTATGATAAAACCTGTGAGTTAAGCCGAACAATCGCGTAAGTACACTTAAATGTGATCAATCGCGAGCTTGTTGCGGCCAGCGTCGGCGCTTTCATCTCTCCAGCTGACCTATCGACGGAGGGGGGTGATCGTTTACCTTCATCTCCTGTTTTCCAAGTGCACGTGCACGCCCACTCGCTTACAAAACCGTAACGATAAATTATTATTTGTGAATAAGTATACCTTTTAATTAGGCAACTTTGACCCTACTATTGTATTATCCTTCTATCTTTCTCAAATGGTGATTTTTCGAAAGGCCATAAAGTGACGTCGGTGTCGGATTACTTACGCGCAGCGGGAAAGGAAAGGTGCACACTGTAATATACGCGAGGTGTTTGCAATCTGTACCTATCCATATTTTTATTAGAGCGTGTCCCGAGGCGTATCCTTTGTGTTTGTACTTTTGGAGCTATTTTATATATACTCCAATAATAATATTACTATTCATTCGTGGCGATGATTTTTTTTTTTCGAGTGGGTATATTGGATTCCGATTATGTTGAGCGAAATAATTCAATGTTTTAATCAAATTGTTACAAAATTGCACTAGAGTTTGAGGGGAAATGTGGATAAAAGTAATTAGTGGGTAATTGGAACTTTTTTCCCCGTAACCCACAGAGCATTATTTAGTCGTTTAACGATTTTTATCCATCCACCTACCGCTTACGTAAGAGAAAATTTGAAAATTGTGGGTAAAAATTTTCATCATCACTGGGAACTGATATTGACCGATTTCCCAAACTGGTGAGGAAAAAATATAGTAAGGCTGAATTAAAATTCTATTTCTCTTGTAGATGATAAACCTATGCACCTATACGTATACATGTAGAAATCCACAAATATCTTGAATTTGTCCATTTTTTAATAAAAAATTTTTTTGAAACACACCCTCGAGATATGGCTTATTTTTGACGGAATGTCGTTCACTAGGAGAGAAAAATCGTGAACACGGGTTTCAGTGGAGGTGACACCTTTTTTCTGTCATTTACGTTAAAAATTTTCATACGTATAGATATAATTGAATTAAAAACGGAAAAAAGGGTGTCACCTCCACCCTGTGGAATACATGTTCTTCCCTGTACATGACATTTCGAGCAAAATAAACCCCATCTCGAAGGTGTGCCCAAAAAAAAAAAAAAAAATTTATTTAAAAAGTAGAGAACGATTTTGGAATATTAATGATATTTGTTTACAGATTTTACACTGAACATGTTCTGTATCCAGTATCTCAGAGACATCAATTTTAGAATCTACATGCCACGTTTTCATTAGTCTTTCTATATGAAACTGATGTAATTTATAAATAATTTTGTACGAATGCCAAAAAATGCCAAATAGCACGTGTTTAATGATTTTTTTCAAGTTTCAAAGAAGCACGTGAACGGTCTAATTCTATACAAGACTCAAGTTTTGTTGTTACTGAGGAAAAAAATGTTTACCCCCGCAGTTTCCTGAGACCAATGCAAAAAAGCATCCTTAAGCTCGAGTTTCAGACGTTTTTCTTCACAGACATGAACGTGTGCACGAAACGAGAACCATAATTTGATCGACGGTTGTATACATTGGGTATTGGTTACTCATTTTCTTTCTCACCCCTTAACCTTAGTCTTAACAACCCCTAAATATATACCATCGACCATACGGTACGGTATACTATTTTATATGTACTAACCCAAGACTCTCCACTCGTATCAGCGTCTTCTTTATCGTCGCCTACTCCACCCTTCCCTCGGCCCTCCACCATACCTGATTTTACATTATACTTGTATATGTATATACTCAACTTCTCTCCAACGAATATGCACCATTGAAGTCTCGTCAAGAACTTGAGATAAGAAGTAGACACGCTTGAGAAATGCAATATGCTAATTTGGGATTAGAGAGAGAGAAACAAATCGATGCAGTGGTGACATCGTATCTTGTCGGTAAGGGAAAGAGAAGCGCGGGTGAGTTAGGGGGTGGGACGAGAAATGGTATTAGATATCGATACGTGAAGCGCTGCATTTTTATAGGCACGTGTACCTATACGTGGGTGTACGTGTATTTGTAAAGAGGAGACAACTTTTTCCAGTGCAGCTCGACTTGACCGAGCGATGAAAAATTCTCGATGTACATTGTGCCGTATACTTAAATGCAGATGATTTATTTTTATCGCGCACCTATACGTGGATTATTATTTTCTTTATTCCTATAGTTTTTTTTTTTTTTTTTTTTTTTTTTTTTTTTTTTTTTTTAGTACTGGATAGCAGGATGCAATACAGTACACTTGAGAATCGGGGAAAAATATTTTATTGCTTAAATTTTGTGCGCTCTATTTACGTCGTTATTTGTTTACGTTGAAAAATAAAAAAAATGCTTCCAATATTTTTTGATAATTTACATGTGATGGACGTAACAGATTTTTTCACGCAAGATCCTAATTGAAGCCCTATTTTTGAAAAAAAATTTCGCTTTGTATATCGCAGCTTTTAAAACAATCATGTTGGAGATTGGGTCGAAGGTGACACCGACGAAACAACACTCTGTCTTACTCTGTGTTCTGGAGATTGAAAAATTAAAATTTCAACTGCGTCCAGGTTACACGTATTTAAATATGTTATGCACTCGAATAAAATAATTACGTTAGATCTGTGTCAAATCCTATTTCAAAGTAATGCTTTACAAGATACTGTTCCTGAATATAATCCAGAAGAGGATATCTTACTCAAGTAACGTATTTGGTACAGTTACATTGCACACATATAGCATTATTTATTATACGTTATCACTTTAATTTATGATATCAGTGAAACAGTAGCTTGAAAAAAAAAAAGGAAAATTCTAAGAGCGTGTTTGGAGAGAGTACAAATGTGAAGGAGGAGCAAACAGTACCTAAGTACTTCTATTTGGGCTGGAACCTATTACACAAATACTGACACCAGATACTTATCAGCAGTCATTAACTGATTAGCGCACTTGTATAGTATTGTTCATTACATACACATATACACGCTGGTATATAAATCGGTTTGATTACACATCGGGAACATGTCGAATGAGGTTCTATATTTTCTACTCATTTCTACTGATATCGTCGGTTTTTATAAATACATACTTGGTAATACATCGCCCTGACTCTCTAGATATTGACCGAAATAGAAAAAATTCAAAAAAGGATTCCAAAATAATGCAGGTAAAAAAATAATTGGTATATCGCAATATAGGTAACGGTGCACGTAAAGTTTTTTTTTTACATTACAGTGTCATACATCAAAGGTCCACTAAATAGAGCACTCGACACTTTGGAAAGGAACAAGGAAAGGGATGGGAGGCCTCCCATCATAGGGCGGGGGTAGGAAAAAATTAGGCAATTTTGCTGCGTCGCCCATCTCCTTCAAAAGGAGCATTGCGAGCATTGCGCAGTAAAAAAGCACATTTAAAACCTACTGCAGGAGTAAAGTAGAGTGGAATGGGATTATCACGGTAAAGACCAATATACAATTTATATCCTAACTGTTATGAAAATGTGTGTTTTTGTTACAAACATATACACTTACACATGCAGATAATAATAATAGAGACAAACTAACAACTCACCAACAATCACTCCAAAAGATTATCAATCCTTCGTCGCACAATGGTAACCAGCACACAGTAATAATAAAACAACAACAACAATCCCCCTTGAAATAAATGTGTACTATTTTCCTCTGAAGTAGAAAAAGATGAAAAATTCATTCACTATACACAACTCTGAATGCTTCAACACAGACGGCTTCTCTTTCACTTGGACGCTCATCTACGAGAAGAAGAAAAAAAAACAGTAGGTAGAGCAGCCCCATAGACATGTATAGCAGTCCTCGTCAGGTTTTCAATTGCAACGCGACGTCTTTTAACGACGTAAACTTACTAAATGCAAAATAAACGAAAAAAACTATACAAGCAACCCCTGCGTCAACTTATATTCACAACATATATACGTACGCGACGAAAAAGAAAACACAATTTAAGAGAGAGCAGGCCTGACTCACGGACCTCTGCCCGCTGTCGACTGCTATAAGCTGCACAAAATAAGTACCAACTTATGCAGCAACGTTGGGGGACGCAAGCTTGCGCGCGCCTGCAACACTGCTTCTGCTGCAGGCTCCGCTTTTGCCGCAACAGCAGCGATACGATGTAGCTTTTCCACCAGTTTTCTCCTCCTCTTACTTTTACTCGACGTTTCATACCACATAGATAGTAATATACATTTAAAGTTCCGAATAGACGGAGCACGGAGACAGTGACAGAGCTTTCGCTCTTTGACACACATGTGTATGATCACTGCGTGTGTATGTGATTTGTGTATACGTAGAAACGGAATGAATAGAAAAGGAGAGCTAAAGCTAAACTCTATAAGTATGCGAGAGTCTGCGATCGATCGCGCGCTGGTCTATATGTATCTATTATATATATATATGCGTTTGCAGAGCTCGTACGAGCTCGTTCTGGATATCTATATATTTATATGCCATGTATATAATGATCTCGCTTCGCCCTGTCCGTTGAACCCTCTTCTCTAGCTCTGTACCGAGTTCGCCCATTCGTTTGTTTTAAGTCTCTTCATTTTCACCTTATCTTCAACCAGAGAGAAAGGGTGATGAGAGAAAAGCACATGATGGTTGATGAACACTTTACGTGCGCTTGCGGCCGGGAAATGAACATTCCAGTTCGCGCAGCTTTATTTGATCTTGCTCTCTTCCTGAGTATTATGCTGTAGGTAAGTACCGCCGATATCGCCTCATTGTGATGAATTTTTTTATTAAGTTTCGTTTTTCCCGAAAACTTAAAACAAAATACTAATGACAATTCATTCATGTTTATGCGGAAAAAAATAGTGCTTTGTAGAGGTGTGTAGTTTTTAAGAAGTGGTATTGCTTAATCACTATTACTACCCAAATTTTTCGAGGATTAGCCGCACGTTTTGGTTTTGAAGATATACTTATGAGTTATGAGGATCATTAATGATCAAGATCAACCACTAGAGGGCATCATCACGAGCAAGGTGATGCCCTCTAGTGTTTGAGCTTGCATATTCATCATCTTCATACCTACTGTATAGCGTGTAGGTTATGAGAACTATTAATATTCAAGCATAACCGTTAGGGAGCAAGACGTAGCTGTCATTCGCAACTCTCAAATGTGTCTATATAGTAAAAACTTCTTAACTATTAACCTATGTCTTATTGCTCGTCGTGCTTCCCCCTAGTAGCTGAGCTTTCACACTAATAATTCTCATCTTCTGTCTTAAAAAGGAGAAGTAATTTCGAATAAAGATGAAGCCTTTTATTCATTATTATGTGATTGACTCAAGCTAAAATCTTATGGTTATGATTCGAATTACGTTATCAAGTTGTAAAAATAATCATTTTGGGAACAATTTATACAACAATTGTTTTTTATTACAAAATCTAATAAAAAAACGTTAGAATTAAAGTTTCGTTGAACCATTCTTGGTTTGGAAAAAAAGTAAAATTTAAAATACAACTGACGGTAATAACACTACAGCATGTACGTTAAGCATGTTACAGTATTTTTTTTTTTTTTTATCATTTCTTTGTATCACTTTGTGCTTTGGACTTGCGATTTTTTTGTAGAATTGCATGGTAGTGACAAAACGATCATTATTGTAATGCTGTTTTAAATCTTTTAAATAGATGCAATGAAATTAGCATTTATATGAGAATGACTACGTAAAAAGTTTCCAATTCATTTGTGTCTTACATAATTTAGTGAAAGTTGCTTTAAAATTTTTACACGTTTAAAAAAGAAGGTTGTTATAAAGTTATAATAACATTGAATACATCCACTGCTTGTGGAGCTTAAGTCAGTGGTCAGTTATGCAGAGGCTAATGAAAAGAGTGTTGACAAAATTTAGTCAGGATTTAATGGACTTAGAGTAAATTTCGATTATTTTAATAAGTGCCTAAATAAGTGTTATATAAGTTTGGAATTTTGTGATAATTAACAATAATTTAGTTGTAAGTTTTGAATTATTTAATTTTGAATATTTAAGTATTTGGAATTTTTACAATTTTTGAATTTTTTGAAGCTTTGAATTTTTAAATTTTTGAACATCTGAATTTTGGAATTGACGTTAAGACGAGATTCAAGTAAATAAGTGAAGTAAAAATATATAAAGTAAAGTAAAGTAAAGTATAGGTAGAGAGAACAATTTGTGATTAGTGATAGTCAAAAGATAGGTTAAGGTTTGACATATGGACTACGAAACCAAAAATTAAAATAAAATATCTTAAAAATAGAAGCAAATAGAGTAAGATAAAGTCAAAAGAATTGTAAAAGGAGTACTGGTAGTTGAATTGTAAACCCGTTCTTCCTTACCAATCCCAGTGGGGTATGTAAGTAGTAATAATAAATAAAATAATAATAATAATATATCCACTGCTTTTTGTGACTAAAAATCACGACGTCTGGACTTCTTTCGAATCCAAATATCGTGTATTAAATGATCAAGCTATGTGTATTACCATTATAAGAATGATTAATGTGCAAGCTCAACCACTGGGGGCAGCACAACAAGCAAGAAGAAGTTAAGTTAGTTAAGAAGTTTATTATAGTTTTATTTGACAGCTGCGAATGACAACTAGGTCCTGCTCGTCATGCTGCCCTCTCGCGGTTGAGCTTGCACATTAATCATCTTCATCGCGGTCGCGATTCGTCTATGTGCGACTCTCCCCTATAGGTACTACTGGGGCATATAATCATACAAGTAGGAGAAATCGGGACTGATGGCAAAATCAATTTCGTGCTCTATAGATTTGTTCGTTCGTTCTGGATGCATTGACGGGTCTTTTATGTATTACAATAAATGGTCATTTGATAATATAAAAAGAAGTTTGCGTTGCTATAATTATCCTACAATATTTTTATTATACCTATTGTAACATGAAGAGCTTTGATGATTTAGGGCTACGGTGTTAGTCTTCCATAGTCGAAGAAACTGATGAGTAATAAAAGGACGTGGGTTCAAATCCTGTCGAAAAATATCGAGATGTTTTTGTCGGGCTTTTTCTTTGGACTGAGAACCCAAGGTACCAGAAAAACCAATTGTCCGATTTTTGTGACAGTTAACAAATGTTTCTAGATGATGTCTGGATCACCATGGGGGCTTCCTTCCCGAGGGAATCGAACTCAATACCTGATAGCCAGTGCAACGGTAAAGACACTCACGATTTTGTAAAGGTCAGTATACAGCGAGTTAGATGATTAATTGTACAAAAAAACCACTCCATTAAACCTGCAATAACGACCATGAGTGCACTTGAAACGATCGCTGTACCTACCCTACAAATGGTATACCCAGTAGGATGGATGAGGCCGCGGACACAAAGACGCGTCTGACTGCGTCCGCACGCGTTTGACGTCCGTGAAAATCGTGCCTAGTTCTTCACTGCCAACGTGCAAACCTCAAATAAACTTCAAAAAAGTGTGAACATACGGGATGTGTTTGGTCGAACGCGTATATGTGACCATGGCCTGACCAAATAATCGGAAGAGAACTTTACATTTCAGGCTGGCACGAAACACGACAGAAAGATTTAAATAGAAAAAAATTAAAGGAATATAGGAATAAGAGGGGAAATTTTGGAAAATAATGTAAGAAATACATAAAAACAACAGAAAATAAAGTTGTAACAGAGCTGAGTGTCACGATGAGATGTAAGGCTAGACTGAGAACGGATTTAAATAATAGGAATGCCTAGAGGTAAATACGAAAAAAAGAGAATGTGTAGTTTTTAGAAAACAAGGCAGGCTCACAGAAAGGGGAAAATAGTACTTTATAAGAGAAAGAAGTAAAATTAGTAATTGATGTACAAGTACTTGAGATTTTAGTTAAAAACGGAGGACACATTTGGTCGACATGTAAGTAAAACGACAAACAAGGCTGAGAAAATAATCACTGCATAGGAACATGGAAATTCATACAAAGTTTATAAGCCATTTTTTAAATATATATATACATCCACTCAATACTGTACGTTAAAGTTGGGTGCTATACATAATCGAGATTTAGGGGTTGGAGAAATGGAAAAGAGCAAAGAAAATTTGTTGAAATGTCCATGGGCACAAATAATCCGACTTCATGTGGAAAATACAGGCCAATAGAAATCGCTTCGAAGTATAGTAGCAAAGATAAGCGAAGAAAGACGGGCAAAAGTTTGCCTGAAAGAGGAATTGAGATGCGCAATAATAGAATATCAAGTGAATGTTTTAGATCAGTTTGAATGGCATTTGAAGGGTTCGGAGATGAAAAACGAATTAAAGCTTTTAAGTATATTTGATAGAAAGGGAATAAGTATAAATTATGGAAGAGCGGCTAGAGGTGTACATTAATTATAAAATAACAAGAAATTCAAGCCAGCTAGACGAAAATCTGAAAATCAAATTACTGTGATTACTACGGAGAAATAAAAATGGAACCGGAAATGAAAAAATACTGGGAGGATACGTCACTTTACAAAAGGGAAGATAAATAGTAGTCGGTAAGGTTGCGATGTGGGAATATATAGAAAGAGCAAGTAACAAAGGATTTCGAGATGGAAGGTGTACGGTATGCAGAAAACAGCTAGAAAAAATATAACACGTATTTTAGTTTGTGTCGGTTAAGGAGACGATCGTGATAAATACTGTAAACCTCAAAAATAAGTTTTAAGTTAAAATATCTCTAAATCGAGTTTTCTTGCAATTTACAAGACTTGGGAACAAATCTATTTTGGATTAACGGATACTTGTAAAAATTAACAAAAAAAAAAAATAATAAATGAAAAATTACTAATCAGCTATAGAGTAGTTTTTAGAACGAAGTTCTTTATGGCGACCGGGATTTCAACACACGACCTTTTGATTGATAGCCAAGCGTTTTAATCGCAGAGGTATCGAGGTGTTACGACTACTGTAATTCTTATTGTCTACATTAAGTATGCTACTGGAAACACAGTTTTAAATTATTAAACTGTTTCATTGACC